TATAGGAAAAATCATAGTGTGTATAGGGGTCAGTGCTATTTAAGGTTTCAGGCACCCACGGGGGGGTCTTGGAAAGTATCCCAAGCAGATATGGGGGGACTGCTGTATATGAGCTGGAGAAATTTCTTAATGTTTCTGGCAGATAGAGGGCACTCTGCTCCTATGTTTGTTTCCCTTTAGTCATAGTGCAAACTTAGGAAGAGTTCAGCTTGTGGGTTTGCGTGAACAGCGCGATCTCGGCTCACCGCAACCTCCGCCTCCTGGGTTCAAGCAATTCTCCTGCCTCAACCTCCCAAGTAGCTGGGATTACAGGGACCCACCACCACACCCGGCTAATTTTGTATTTTAAATAGAGACGAGGTTTCTCCACGTTGGTCACGCTGGTCTTGGCGTGACAATCTTAACCTGTAGCAAGCTTTATAAAGTGGTGTCAGCAGATTGACTATTGTCCTTGACCTGGTCAGTGCACACAGCTGTGACAGCACAGAGAAGTCATGTTTCTTACAGGTGGATTCCTGGGTGACTGCAGCAAGGGAGAAACTGATGGCTTGGGGGCACCCGAGGGGCTGGGTTCCTTGTTTCCAAGTTTACAGGAGCCTTGGAAACTTCAGGATACCTGGATGCAAGAGGAGGAAGAGGGGCTCTACCCTTGGATACAGGCAGTCTGGAAAGCAGACCTGCCCAGAACAGTGGGCCTCAGAGTGCTGGCGGGGACTGCTCTTGGGCTCAGGGCACCCGGCAGTGAGCAGCGGTGGAAACAGCCAGGGCCTGGTTACCTACAAGACTTTAGCTGAACTTGGGCTTCACCACATATTAACCTGTGGCCAAGAAAAGTCTCCTTAATTCATCTGTAAAGTAAGTAGTAATAACAGAATCACCCTCTGGGTTTTATGGGGGTTCAGTGGGGTGCGATGCATGAGATACTTAAACAGCACCTGCCACGTATGTGTGGATGCTCAAGGAATACTGAGCTCCTGAAGTAGTTTTTGAATAAAGAGAAGCCAAATGCTCTCTTTCCTCTTTTCTCTCTTCCTTTCTCCCCACCTAGTCTCTGTATTCCCCTTTCACCCCTTGGGGTGACTTCTTAGCCCTCTCCAAGACTCTCACTCTGGCTCAACACCCTTTTCCATTCCAGCCTATAGATCTGCCACTGCTGCTGCCCTGCAGGGCCATCCACATGTATGTTTGTGCAATGCTCCTCCCCTATCCTAACCCACCTAAACTTAGCTTCCTCCACAGACCTGTTTCAAATTCACATGGCCTTTTCCTTTTCAGGGGAGTCTAGTATTTTATAACCACCCTTCCCAAATCAGAATACAAGTAGACACATGTTCGGCTTTCCACGTGTGAGAAATGGCCTCAAGGGTACAATTTTCTTGCACGGTCCATGTTTCCACAGGGCCCCCTTTCTGACTTCTTCCCTGGAAGCCAGGAGAGCTGAGGAGCCGACAGAGATGGGGCACACACACTGGGAAGCCAAGCACATTAGATTTACTCGGGTCATATCTGCAGGTGAGGTAACAGCACACACATATAGAAATTCACGAGCAGAGATGCCACCCCAGCATCACCGTCAGACACCAAAGCAGCAGGAGGGCTCAGGAAGTGGCTTTGGAAAGTTCTCGTGAAAAATCAAAGGGCAGCTTTGGTGCTCAGAGATTCAAACAGAAAACTATACAAAACCAACCCTTAAATATATATATATTATATGTGTATATATATAAAATTGCAAAATAAAAGCCCAAGAAACTAACCATCAATCTGCACGTCAGTGGCTCAAAAAGTGTTAGCATAGAGAAAGGCAAAACCATTTGTGGGGGTGATGCATACTCCAGGGGGACGGCATTTCAGTAGCAGAAAGAGTATTTACATGGAACCCCTATTTGAAACCTCACAATACTAGGAAAAGCTAAACACAGACAATGTATGTACAAGGGAAGACAGTAAGTAGTACTCTTGCGTGACGATTGTCAGACACAGACATTTCACTGAAACCATCCATAGCTTTAGAGAACACTGCACTCTATCTAGACTGGGTTCCTGCTAGCCTACACCCCAGCCAGGCAATCTCAGGCTCCGGAACGTATGTTCTCCCCCACTTGGCCTCTTCCCAGAGAGGGCAAACACTGGGATGTTGGTTGCAGCATAAATTGCAGGAATTTAAAGGTGGAGCAGTCCTCGGGTATCAATCAATCACCCACAAAGCAGGACCAACAGGTGTGAGGTGGAGTGGAAGTGTGGGGGTGGGGTTCCCTGAAATATATTCCCATTTTATAATGTGTTTTAAGTGTGGCCCCTCTGCCCTTGGTCCAATTGCCATCCTCCTTCTGATTCACTTTAAAAGGGGAGATCTGGCCTTTGGGTTTCTAAACATTATATAGGATAATTTGCTGGGGGAGAGAAGAGTTTAGGATCTTTCTACAGTTATTCTCCCACCACCCCCCAAACTCTTACATTTTCTTTAAACTACCTAGAGATAAGTAATTTGCCGATCACAGCTGGCCTCAGTTCGGGACACAGTGGGTGAGGAGAGGAGCCCAGGACCTGACTCTATTAGAAAACCACCAGTGCTTTCTCACACTGAGCCTCGGACTCCAGCTCTGCGTGAACCCCTCCCCTGCATCAGTAGTGATCATTTCTCCCCCATCTTCAGGCCACAATTTCCCGTGGCAATGACGCAGCTTTTGGAAAAATCTAGAAGGTAAGCGGCACCAAATATCAATATAGCCAAACCTAATTATCACCTAAGAATGAACCAGTGCGGCCCATTGTTTCTGTGTATATAAGAACACTCCCAACTGGAGATCCTTCCTAATTGTTCCTAAGACGAAACGCCTACATTCTCAAGGGAACTGTCTCTATAAAAATGATGAAAGGTGTTCTCCACTAAAGGACACCCCACTGAAGTCCCCACACTTCTTCCCGGTGAGTGTGGCTGCTCACTGTGAGAGGTAAAGGGATGTTGGGCATGCCTTGGTAACCGAGTTGTGTGTGGCCTCTCATTTATGACAGAAAGTGTGCCACATCTGAATAGGTTAGTGAGACACGGCTTCTGGAAGTAATTACACTCTGTGTATGCTTTCTTATATTATGCTGCAAGTGGAAATGTGCACAGATAACCAATGTGCACATTTCATGAGTTTAGAGTCACTTACAGGCCTCTTACTTCTTGCATTAAACTATCCCTTTCAGAACAGATGTGAAACAGATGATAGGCTGCCCCATTGGCTTTCAAATTGTAGGGTGCCCTGTCCTTTCTGTGGGAGTGGAGAACTTAAATTGAGCCTCTCCCTCATTTCTTCTCAGACTTTTTGAGTGCTAAGATCTTAGAGAGTTCAACTGAGCTCAAGTGATGAGACAGAATGTAAAAAGACCTGTTTCCTCTACACTCAGAGTCAACTGCAACTGTGCCAACCAACTCTAGAGTTTCTGCTGACCCGCATGTGTAAAATGAGTAAGGGGCAAATGTTCTCTCATTTGTTCAGTAGTCAAGAACTGATTACCCTTGTTCCAAAACTAGAACATAAAATTCATACATAAGAAAAAACATGTTAGCCAGCATGGTGGCTCACACCTGTAATCCCAGCACTTTGGGAGGCCGAGGCAGGTAGATCACCTGAGGTCAGGAGTTCAAGACCAGCCTGGCCAACATGGTGAAACCCCGTCTCTACTAAAAACACAAAAATCAGCTGGGTGTGGTGGCAGGCGCCTGTAATCCCAGCTACTCGGGAGGCTGAGACAGGAGAATTGCTTGAAAAACCGGGAGGCAGAGGTTGCAGTGAGCTGAGACTGCACTACTGCACTCCAGCCTGGGCAACAAACAGCAAAGCTCCGTCTCAAAAAACAAACAAACAAACAAACAAACAAAAACAAGAAAAAACATGTCATTCAGACCTATGGGTAAGGCTGTGTGTCTATCCTACACATACCTTCACGGAAAAATTGAAAATTATTTTTAGACTTTCAGAGGCTAATCATGCTGTTGGGGAAATGGTTCTTTCAAATCCATGGCAAAGAAGTGGATTTATAGCATTTTCCCCCACACTGGCAGTAGCCCTGCTACAACAATGCCAAACATCTGAATGACTGTCCTGCCATGTCACCATAAGCAAGTGACAGTGTCATCCACAGGGAATGGGATTCAAGTTCAGTCTACATGCACCAGTGGCAGAGCACAGTGCTTTACAGTGGGGTTCTTACTATAAGAACTTACTGCTCTTCATCCAATTTCCCCCAAGTCCTTTAAAAAGAACTTATCTGTTCACAGAGGAAGAACCCTGTTTTAGCTATAGGAGAGTTGAGGGGGGTCAACTGGCCAAAGTAGGACAGTTACTTGGATCGCATGCAGGCCAGGAGGCTCTTAGGGAGTTCAGATCTGGGCTAGAAGGTGTCTCTTTCTGCCATTTGCGGGGGAAGGTCACATGGTATGGATGGCTCTCCCACGCCACTGTTGGGTGCAGCCAACACTGTGCAGGGAGTCATTGGAGCCAAGCCTGTCTCTGTGAAACCACTAATCCTTCTTGTCCTCTCTCCTCCTGCCTGCCTTCCGATGGAAATAAGCTCAGAAACCTCTCCACTTCCCAGCTCAGCCAGCCACAGAGCAGCACACTGGTTCAAATGTTACCCTTTCCTCTGGCATATCCAGGCACAGTGGCTCAACCAGACATGAACCTACTGCCCGCCAAATCTGAGTTCTTGAATACACATTTTCTCCAGTCAGATATTGGTCAAAGTTTTCAGCCAACTCTTATCCAGAGCTGAAGAAAATGGCCTTTCCTTTCTAATAGCCTGTAGATTTGTTTGGACCACATGTCTGTTTCTGTAGCATTTGGTGCATGTCCTCAAGCCTGGAGCTAAGTGTGCCACATTCTACACAAGGGAAGAAACGGCAGGATGGCTGGACACTTCTCCCAGCAATTCTGCACCAAGACAAAATAAAACTGGAAACATAAGCTCTTTGAATGCTCCCCTCTCCTTGTTGAAAATCTCTCTTAAGGTGTTTTATCCAAAGATTTTTATGGAAACAAATTTTGTGTTGGAAACTTACTATTTGCTGTAGAGGAAACATTGTGTAAAGCAGGCCATCAACTATGTTTTAGTATTGACATTTCAAAAAGGCCTCATAGCTCCCATGCCACCATCCCATGCCCATCCAGTCCAGTCTCCATTCAGCCACCAAAGGGATTTTCCTAAAATGCAATTCTGATGCTGACTCTATCCTGATTTAAAGGCTTCAGGGGCTCCAAACCCCTTACATGACAAGTCAAACTCCTCCACACTTCCTACCAGTTTCCTTAGGATTCAGCCCTGCCTACCTGTGAAGGGACCCCTCAACCCCCGAGCTTCCACGTCATGCTCTGGCAATGCCACATTGCTCAGTGGAACCCATCATGGCATTTCATGCATCCACACCTTTGCACACATTCTTCCCTCATCGTGGCTTGCCCTGCCAACCCTTTCATTCTACTGGAAAATTTCTCTTTGTTTTAAAACCCTAACAGCCATTGCTTTTCTCAGGGTTTATCTGGTCCCCAAGATAGTTAATTGTTGCTTCCTTATGCCACCTTGGTACCCTTGCCTGTTTTGCAATTTGTCTATACACCTCCTATGCTCATGAACTTCTTGAGGGCAGGAACTATGCCTATCCTCATGCCTGGCCCTTGGCTTGACCCAAGCTCAATGCATGTTTTTGGAATGCATGAGGAATGAACCAACTGATAGGTTTCATCTATCAACAGAAAGTGGGCCATGGCATAAATTCCAAAAATAATGCTGCAGCAAGACTCCATCCAACATTTCCACTAAGTGAGGCCTCATTGTCAAGGGAATAAAGAGAGTGTGTTGAATGCAGAAGCAATCAACATCACTCCTGAAGTACAACTCGCACACAAATTGCTGCATCAGAGGTCGTGTTCACTATTCTCACAACATTGTTTGCCACTTATTATTCTAGTCATAATGATGGCTCTCTTTCAATGTCAACATAATGCCTGGTGCTCGGTGGATCCTTAACAAATGCCACGAGAGGATAAATGAATGTGAAATATACTTTTTAAAAGAAGGCATCAAGGGATTGGCTTTTAAAGGCATTTCCCATATGACAGATTTTTCTGAGGCATCAGTGGGTTGTCCCTCCTAAAATCTGACCCAATCAGGAAGTAGAACACAGATGGAGCCTGGGGTAGCAGTTAGGAATCTGCACTAGAGAGACACAGTGTCAGGTTTACCTTGGTACTAGGTCAGTTTCCTTCCTTCTCGAGAAATAGCCAACTATGGATGGTATTTCCTGCCCCAGCCAGAAGGCTCTTGCCTGTCCTTTGTCAGAGGCACACAGTAGCATCACCATAGTCCATATTGACCAGGAACTTCAAGTGCACTGATGACGATGAGCAGAGGGAGTTCCCTACCTTTGCTTCAAGTGCTAACATTATGCAATGGAGACCAGTCATAGAGACAAGTCCTGGATGAAAACCACCTCCCCTGAGGATTAAAGTTGTCTGGTCACCATAGCTGTTAAGAGCAAAGGCTCTGGACTCAGATTGACCTGGATTCAAATCCAGAATCCAGATCTTTCTAGCCAAGTCAGCTGGGACAAGTCAATTATCTTTTTAGGGGGTCAATCTCCTCACCCACAAAATGGGAATGATCTTACCCACCTCAAAGGATTACTGTGAGGGTTAAAGGATGTAATGTATGTGAAGCCTGCACAGTGTCTATAGATAGTAAGTGCTCAAAAGTGGGAAACTATGATTAAGAACTTTCAAAAATATTTTCACAATAGTCAGATGAAAAGGAAAAATATTCTTTCAAGACACTGTGCTTTTAAGAGAATGGATTGTCTAATTTTTAGGAGCCAACAATGCTCATTAATCAATGCCCCACAGAAGAACATGAGAAGACAGTGGTGGCATTTAAAACGATAACTGTGGCCATTACCAGGCCCCAGGATGGACAGATAGGGACAGGGACAGGGACACCCAGCATTTCTCTGAGAGCTGGTGTAAGAGGATTAATCCTGAAGGGCTCATTTCTGATTCTCCTCTGCTGGACCTAGAGTGACTCAGAGTTGGAACCTCAGAGGGTGCAAATCAAGGTGCCAAGAGTAAGATGCCAGTTTCCGTCTGTAAGCAAGTGTTTCTGGGGGTGAGGGAAGGTCAGGGGACACCTTACTGCTGGACAGGAGTGAGGCAGGTACAGTGCATTGCTCCAGGTGTCATGCAAAGCTAGAAAGTCATAGCATTCCCTCTGTTGTTTTGATCCTCCTTATACAACCCAAAGCCAACAGAGGATTTCAACTTCCCCAAATTTCTACCCTGAGCATTAAACAACTTTTTCCTATGCTAAATTTGGTTTTAGTTTTGAAGTGCCTGAGACGCACAATACAAAGGGGTCAGGTTCCTGGCCTCTTATGTTGATGAAACCATCCCCAGTCCTCAGCTTACATGGTTTGCCCTTATGCCTGCCACCTCTTACAGCTCTTCCATCCATCATTCAAGAGGTTCCATGAAGAAAGCTCAGGGTTAATGTGTAGGGAAGTACAAGCTAAGCCATCAGCCCTTGGGAACAAAGATTACTTTCTGTTGGAGGGGTCAATTTGGCTGGTTGCTTTGAGCAGCAGGGCAGGGACCCAAAGTGGAAAAGAGAAGAGATTTTTAAATGTAGAGATAGCTCCATCTGCAGGAGATTGGATTCCTGCGAAGAAATGGACCTTACTCAGGGGAAGCCTCGACCTGTCTGATTTAGTCTGAGCCTATAAGAGATCACGGCCCATTTCTGGCCTTCTTGCCCTAGGCTCAGATTGGTGGGCAGCATCCAAACAAAGGCGGCCCACAACTAGGCAGTGTTGTGTAGCAGAAGGAGCACTGGACTGGAAGTCAGGAGACCTGAATTCGAGTGCAGGCTCTGCCGCTAACTAGCTGTGTGACCTTTGGCAAGTCACCTGATTTCTCTGGGGCAACGGTAAAACGAAGGGTTGGTCGGGCGATCTCTAAGTTCCCCTTCCGAGTGTGGTCCAGGGTCCTACTCTATCCCTCCTTGGCCCTGTGCTTGCAGGGACAGAGATGGGAGAAGGGAAGGGGAGGAGAGAGAGGAGGCAGGAGGGAGCCCACGAGTGTCGTGAATCAGGACTCCACTTTCTCCTTCTTTTTGCTCTTTTTCAGGAAGGAGGGGGTTCGGAATTTCTTTTTCTTCTTTGAGGGAGACTTGGAAGGTGAGCCCTCTGGGGACATGGGGCCGCTGGTGACCGACTCGGTTTTGTCCTTAGAGGTATCAACATCCGTGTCAGCACTGGTGGTCATCTGGCTCAGGCCTTTGCTGAGGATTTCCTCTGCCGTCTGCTCCTCCTCCCTCCCGTTGACCACCACCCCTTCCGGCTGGGTTGTTTCGGGCTCTGTGGTGGTGGCTTTGCTTGTTTCTGTCTTCTTAGTACCTTCTAGAAAAAGATCAGAAGATATGACCGTAAGATTTCATTCAGGTGACAGCTTCCACCTGGGGCTAACAGAATCATTTCTAGGGAATTCTATAAAGTCAATCCAGAGCGAGGGGAGGGCCAGCCTGACGTTGAGGGATGGCTTCCAGAGACAGATGGAAGGACTGGGTTCTGATCTGCACCCTCTTCCATGTGGCCTGTCCTGGGAACACCCCCTTGCAGGCCGGCAGCTCTGGGCTCTTGTCTATAAATTTAGATGGATATTAATGTCTGAATGTGGCAGGGGGCCCAGCTGGGGTCCAGCTCAGTTTTTGTAGGCAAGAAAGAAGAAACAGACACAGAGGAAGGAGAAGGCGTAAGGTGTACAGCTTGGTGGAGACATCTAAGACTTGTTGTAACCAGTTCAGATTCGCCAATAAAAATATGGAAATTACATGTTCTCAAACCCATTTCATTTTCTATACCAGTGAGGAACTCCGAGAAATAAGGAGAATATCTTCCCAGTAGGCAGAGGGAGAGTGGAATTCCTTACATAACATGGACCCCGTATTTCCCAGACATGTTAGTCAAAATGGGAAGACCCCTGGTCAGCCCATTCTAGCAGCCACTGGGGCCCCCAGGTCTTTATTCCACCTGGGAATCTGTTGGGATCGCTGGCATATTCAAGGCCAGAGTTGCTCAGGCCCCAGAAACCAAACCCTCCTTCCACCCTTTCTCCCCCTCCCCACTCTCACTCAACCTTGCTTCCACGCAACCTTTCAGATGCCTGGATGGGGTGAGAGTCAGGGAGATTGTAACACCACAGACTGAAAAGTAGAAAGCAAGGTAAATATCATCTGATGCCCCTCCTCCCTGCTGTACAGCTAAGAAGGCTGAAGAACACAGTACCATGGTGGGTATACTTCGGCTTACCAACTTCCGGTTCAGTTTCTTCTCACCATGGGAACTGAAAGGAGTGTGAGTGAGCATGTGTGAGGGTGTGCAAGTGTGTGTGTGAGGGTGTGCAAGTATATGTGTGAGTGAGCGTGTGTGAGGGTGTGCAAGTGTGTTTGTGTGTGTGTGTGAGTGGGCAGGTTGTGTGTGGTATGTGTGTGTAAGTTTGAGTATGCAAGTGAGTTTGTTTGCCATGAGTGTGTGTGACTGAGCATGAGTGTGTGATGTGTGTGGTGTGAGCATGTGCAAACCAGTGTGTGTGACAGTGAGTGGTATATGAGTGTGGGAGTGAGCATCTACAAATGTCCTTGTGTGTGTGAGTACACATGAGCATATGCAAGGGTGTGAATGTGAGTAAGTGAGTGACACACCTGTGTGGTGCGTGTGTGATGGGCACATATGAATGCAGTGTGTGTGTGTTGCCACATCACAAGAAGGAACCCGGCGTGCTGGGGTGTATGAGATCGTGGGTGATGCGGAAGGTATAGTCAGTGTTACAGAGAGAGTGAGTGAAGGACTCGGTATTAGGAAAAGCCTGGGATCCTAACAGGGGTGAAGTCTGGGGAAGTACATGGTTATATGGAGGATGGGACAGAGTGGGGTAACTTGCGGACAGTTAGAGTGGACTAGTGAACTACCTGGGCCAGATCTCCCTGTAACAAAGTCTTCGTAACTCCTGACACTGCTAGGCAAGTCAAAGTGCCCCCTCCAGACCACTGTGGAGCACCAGCTCCCTATTGGTACCAAAGACTTTGGCCACTGCTCCCAGTCTTCCCACTGCCCAGCCCATGTCCTGTCATCCTCATCCAGCCTCCTCTCCCGTTCTGCCACGTAATCCTGTGGCCATCACCTGGCAGTACTCTTGAGTGCCATAAACCAGGCTGGACACAACCATCTCTCTGTCCACTCTCCTATTCCCACTTTGCCTGCTTTTTGCCATATCAAGCTGCCGGTCCCTGGACCTCTCACTGTCATCCCAGCCTGTTCCCCTCTGGAAGGCCCTTCACTCTCCTCTGTGTCCCCAGCCTTCACTCCATATAATGAATCAGCTTGAGTGTTACTTCTTCCTTCAAGTCTCTCCTGATCCTCATTCCCACTTCCAGGTAGTTTATCACTCCTTTCTTTCTGCCTCTGCTTTCTAAACTTCCATCCTAGCAACTTCAAAATGATCACGCATTTTTTTTTTTTTTCCCCTGAGACGGAGTCTTGCTCTGTCACCCAGAGCTGGAGTGCAATGGCGGGATCTCAGATCACTGCAATCTCTGCCTCCCAGGTTCAAGCAATTCTCCTGCCTCAGCCTCCCAAGTAGCTGGGATTACAGGCGCCCACCACCACGCCCAGCTAATTTTTGTATTTTTAGTACAGATGGGGTTTTGTCATGTTGGCCAGGATGGTCTCGAGCTCCTGACCTCTTGATCCGCCCACCTCGGCCTCCCAAAGTGCTAGGATTACACGCGTGAGTCACTGCGTCCAGCCCACACTTGTTTTTTATGCCTATCTCCTCCCCCTTCTAAACTGAAATAAATTAGGGCAAAACTGTGTCTAATGACCTATGTTACTAGCTCACAGAAGGCACCAGAAAAGGTCTGTGGAATCCATGAATGGTTGAAGGCATGAGCAAATAAATGAATATGTGGATGGATTTATTCTAACCAAGCTAATACCATCACCTAATCTTTTCTTGTCTATCCCAGCCTGAGCCTTCTAAGCTGAACTGGATCCATTCATGTAAATGAGCACCAGCCTTGAGTGCTAGCCTTTGTCTCCTGTACCTACTGCTCTGGTCTTCCCTCTCATCTTCCTTGGCTCTCCATGGCTCTGCAACTTCAACCTAGACCCTCACTGCAGGGCCTTCACTTGAATGACACATTAGGATGCATTTCTCAAGCTTGACCCTTGGCACTGTCCTCTGAGATGGTTTGGGCACTTGCCTTCTAGCTCCATGAAGACAACTATGGATAAGAGGGGCTCCCACTTTCTGTCCAAGTGTCATTTCCTGCCTGGTAGCAACAAGTATCCTCGCTCCAATGGCATCCTTCAACCATGCCCCTCATCCGTGTCCCTTTGCCCATACCTGCTCTGCTGTCAACCTAAGCAACAGCCTCAGTCCCTGGTGTGTGTCTAGTTTAGGAGAGCAACACTCAAGGTTCTTCTCACCATGTAGAAAGTGGGGGCGACAGATAGTGCATCTGCCATGATTCAGAGAGGTTCCACATCATGAATTGTTTGAGGAGTCATGACACATGGAAAATGGGGATTAGAGGAGCCAGGTTCCTAACTAAGGTCATTACTCCCTCAACTACAGAGTCAGAGACCACTGGAGGGTTCCACTGGCCAAGAGAAGGGACAGGGCTCCAGAAATCAACATGTGTTAGGCCCCTGGAAAGTACTGAGGACAGGCTCTGATAGCCTAGACCCCTCCTCTGTCAACAGGTTGAAGACCAGGCTGGGAGAGGCCCCAGGAACTAGGGTCAGATGGGAACTCACCTTCTAGCCTCTTCTAAGAAGAACCTCTGACTTTGTCTCCTGAATGGGGGGAACTTGGAGCTCTGGGAATAGGGGATATTCTGGGAGTGAGTAGAGTGGGGCAGAAGTTGGAAAATGGGGGCTGTGTCCAACGATGGTGACTGGAAAGCTGGGGGAGAGACAGGAGGCATTGGGAGAACAGGTGGCAGGAGCAAGACTAGACTCGGAAGTCAGGGCCCACACCCAGACCCTGTGGGTTGGGAGACAAAGGACTAAAAGGCTTCTAGAGGCTGGAAGAGGAAGGGGGCTTCTGTGGGAGGCGCAGAGCTGGTTTGGACACTCTGCCTCTCCAACTTGATTTCTCACTAGCCCACAGCCTCCAACCACTGGCTGTCTCTTGGCCACCAACGAACATGTGGTGGTTAATTTTAATGCGTCAACTTGACTGGCTAAGGGATGCCCACATAGTTGGTAAAACAATATTTCTGGGTGTGTCTGTGAGGGTGCTTCTAGAAGAGATTAGCATGTTTTGGAGGGGGGGGATGGAATTTCGCTCAACCTCTGCCTCCTAGGTTCAAGCGATTCTCCTGCCTCAGCCTCCCGAGTAGCTGGGATTACAGGCGCATGCCACCATGCTCAGCAAATTTTTGTATTTTTAGTACAGACAGAGTTTCACCATGTTGGCCAGGCTGATCTCAAACTCCTGACCTCAGGCGATCCATCAGCCTCAGCCTCCCAAAGTGCTGGGATTATAGACATGAGCCACCGCACCCGTCCAGGATTAGCATTTGAATCAGAAGTCTGAATATAGAAGATCTGCCCTCACCAACATGTTTGGACACCATCCAATCTGTTTAGGGCCCCGTCCAGGATTAGCATTTGAATCAGTAGTCTGAATATAGAAGATCTGCCCTCACCAACCTGTTTGGACACCATCCAATCTGTTTAGGGCCCTCTCACATAGAACAAAAAGGTGGAAGAAGGGCAAATTCTCTCTGTTCTTGAGCCGGGACACCCATCTTCTCCTGCCCTCAGGCTTAGAGCTCCTGGTTCTCAGTTCTCAGGCCTCAGGCTCAGACTGAGTTACACCACTGGCTGTCCTGTTCTCCAGCTTAGAGACAACATACTCTTCAGCCTCCACCATCACATGAGGCAATTCCCCTAGGGAGTCTCTTCTTATCCCTCTACATATCCTGTTGGTTCTGTTTCTCTGGAGAAGCCTAATACAGTCCCCTTCCAGGAATGCCAGCTCCCCCAGCTTCCTAGGCACCACCCCTGCACAACCCATTCCACTCCTCTCTGCCTCTCCAAGCATGTCCCTATCCAAGGTCTGGCTCAAGCCACACTGTATCTGGACAGCCTCCCCTGACATTGGACAATGAGCTCGCCTTCCTCTAAACCCACTGCTCATATATTCATTTTACACTTGCATGTGTCATTTATCTTTTTTTCTTTTGAGAGTCTATTCATCACCCAAGTACACTGTTCATGACAGAAACTCTGTCTTTTACTTCTCTGACAATCATCATGCAGCTCAGTGACAACATGTTCAAGCCATGTTTACTGCTGCTGACTTTGTCAAGTGAGGCCAGATTGAAGGCTCAACAGAGGGTGCCTTGCATCAGCTCAGCAGCTGGGCTCTTCTGTGGCCGTGCACTGGGATAAAGACATGGAGAGGGAATATGGACCTTGCGTAACTGAAAGAGCAAGGCTGCCTTTCCTCCCTGGCCTGCTGACATCTCAGGCTCAAACACATGACCTCTTGCCTCAAGCCCCCCAGCTTTGAGAAGTCTTCTCTTTGCAGCAGAGAAGACACCAGTGGAGGGCCCAGAAACAGGATTTGCTGATGCACTTCTGAACACAAGGTCAATCTGACAGATCCTGACCTATATTCCAAATGCATGGAAAATTGGTCGCTGCCATGTACTGCTTTTATTTCCCTGTTGAAACGGCAGTGCCATACCATTGCATAGAGAGGTCATAGAGAGATTCATTAAAGACCTTGAAAAAAAAAACATGTTCTATGTTGACACAAAGGCTGAGCACTCATGCAGCAACAGTCAAAAAGGCCCAAAGGTGCTCAAAGAACAGAGCACAAAGGAAGAAGAGCAACAAGCTGAGCTGCCCATGGCTGACCATTGAGCTGGATGCTGGCCATGCAGAGAGGTTTGCAACAGAGTTTCTGTCTGGGTTTAAATTCTCAAACATCAGTGTCTGAAAGAATCACCCAGAGAGCTTGTAAAAATGCAGCTTCTAGTGTTGTCCTCACAATAAACTGAAACAGAAGGTGGGCCAAGAAATAGATATTTTTAACAAGTCCCCAGGTAATTCTGATACAAAAGGCCCATTGGCCACACATTGAGAAACGTAAGTTTAGAATGCTATGTTTTCTGCGACTTTTACTTACCCCCAAACCTAGAGTACTGCTGATAAAAAAGAAAGTAGAGCTTCTCATAAATGGATGCAGTGGACTCTGTGCCTCCCATCCACTCCCCACAGCTGGGATATAAATGTTCCTCTAAGTACTCAAATATACTTTCAGTATCTGGTACAGCTTGTGTGCACATGTGACCCTAATGAACTATCCCTCCGGGTATCCACACTGAATCTGGGCTGGTCCTGTGGCTGGCAAAACCAATAGAATGCAGTAGAAGTGCCACAGAGCAGGCCTCAGGCCAAAGACTTAAGAAGGCCTAGCAACTTCTATTTTCACAGTTTTGGGAGCCTTATACCAAACATGTATAAAGTCCAACTACCCTGATGGAAAACATGTAGAGAGGCCGCATGGGTGGGCCCTGAGACCACACAGAGGGAGGGAGAGAGAGAGAGAGAGAGAGAGAGACACAGAGACAGACAGACAGACAGACACCCAGTCATCTCAGTGTCCCAGTTGAGCCCAGCCTTCTAGCTGCCGCTGCTGAGGTACCAGGCATGTAAGTGCACCATCTTGGAAGTTCCAGCTTAGTCAAGCTCCCTACTGACTGTAGCCCTCCGCGGATATCACATCAATCAGAAATCATCCAGCTAAGCCCCATCAACCCCAGTCAACCCACAAAAGAACCAGTTTCCGTAATTCTTGTTCTTATTCTTCACCATGACTTAACCAAATATTATTGCTGCATCACAAACCACCCTAAAACTTAGTGGCTTAAAACATCAAGTGCTGTATTAGCTCTTACAATTTGGAGAACATGGTAGATAAAAAGGACTAACTTACGTAAAGCATGTTACAAAGTACTTTTATATTCAGTAGCTCATTTTATCCTGACAACATGCTGTGGGTTAGGAAAGGCAAAGATTCATGTTATTCCCGTCCAGCAGTGTTTTTAAATGACTTCTTTGAGATGGCTACATTAGTTAGTGGCAGAACTGATCATGTGATATCAAATACAGGGCTATTTCTTTGCAGGCATAGCCAGTTGCCCTGAGGGTTCAGCAGAGGATAAGATGAGCTGGGACAAGGTCCGACAGGAGCTAAAGAGAAGGTTATAGCACAGATGGCCAGATGCAAAGGCTCTCTTTGATGGCGAGCCTTCAAAGAGGCTGATGGGGTAGGAATCAGGTAGACAGATGAGGAGTGACACTGAAGTGACTCAGCATAAGAGGATTTGAGGTCATGGTAGCAAATGGTTGGAAAAAGCCACCCCCGATCTGATGGGTGGGCTAGATGTGAAACAGCAGAGACTTGCATGGCAGGTCAGCTCTGTCTGCCTAGGAGCTGGGCAAGCCTGTGAGCAGCCCGGCCAAGGCTTCGCACCAGGCTCCCCACCCAACTACAGCTTGTGTCCTCGTCATGCAGGGTCTGCTCCAAGGTGCCATGCTCCCCAGCTCTGTCTGTTACAGGAAGTGGGTTATGGGAAGTGTCTTCAAGACAACTCTTCTAACAACTCAACAGTGGGCCCCTCCAGGGGAAGAATGAAAAATCCTGCTATAGGGTGTAAAATGTCAGGCAGTGGGTAAACCGCTATCCCACCCACTGCACGCCCCTCCTGGCCCTTGTCCCACTCCTCCATGAGCCTCCTCTCCAGCCCTGGATTTCCTTCCTGCGGCTGGAACACATGTCCTAAAGACCCTAGCAGACCAGGCCCTCTATGCATCCTTATAATGCAGTTCAGGCTCTAGCCCAAAACCTAGATGAGGCAACAGGCTCCTTCAAGGTGCCCGTGCATTAGGAAGAGTGAGAGCCTGACAGCCATAAGCACTGTACCGCCGGGAGTGCCTGCGAGCTGGCCCTACTGCCTGCAAACTCTTGGGAGCTTATTGCTTCTGGGCGTGTGTGCCTGTGTGTTTGTGTATGTGTGTGGCCTATGTGTGTATATCCACATCTCCCATAGAGAAGCCTAATCCATGCATAGTGCATGTGGAATTGGCCATGAATTTTACAGCCAGGAAACTTCCCAAAGGCAGAGTTGTGAGTCGCAAAAGAAAAACATGGGGAGAAATCTATTTCTTTTGAAAAAAAAAAAAAAAAATCCTCCCTCCCCCATTGCAAGGGTTGCGGTGAGTTAGTAAACAGCCTCTCTATACTTACTACAGAGACAAGTATTCAGAATCGGAGGAAACTCCTTTGATGAAGGCACAAATGGGAAGAGAAAGGAAGACATTGTGGAGACAGGTTGACAACACCACGGTGAGACACAATGAACACAACAGTTGGGGGACATCCGCTTGGGCTCTGGCCTCAAGCAGATGGGTTTCCTCTGGCAACGCTGCACATGAGGCAGTAGTTTGCTTGTGGAGGGAGCTCAGGGTTGGGGATTCTACTGGAATCCACATGTGTGGCCGTTCTATCCCAGAGGGAGAAGATTCCAATAGGCCACCATATTGCTGCTGTCTGGAGAGTAGGATGGCTCTGTCTGGTGGGGGTCTCCAGGGGACCTGGGATGGAGTGTTCATGCCCTGGAGTGATTCCAGGAGCTCAGTAAAGATACTTTTATGATTTAGGTGGCCAGGAACTATAATTCTTATCCACTTTATGTATATTATTAACCATAACCATAATAGCATCTTAAATTATTTAAGTCCTGCTTTTACTCTTTCAAAGTATGTTTTCACCTACATTTCCCTTATACATGTATGAAAAGGGAATATATTAGGAGCCCCATCTGACAGTCAACGAAACTGAGGCACAGAGATGCTATCTGATTTGCTAAAATTAGCAGTTATTACTAGTTAGCAGTTCAGTTGGGCCTAGAACTCAGTTCTTGAAGCTAGTATCTCTCTATTGAAGCTGTTTTCAACCTGGACCACACTTTAGAGATGTGAAAACTCCAGGCTGTACTACTCAACCCACCTGACTCAAGACTTTTCTGAGTTTTCCTTAACTCAGAAAAGCTGGGAGTGGGATCAAGCCTGTTAAAGCTCCCCACGTGATTCCAATGTACCGCTAAGGTTGAGTATGACATCATTACCCTCACCTGGGAAATTCAGCCTCTCAGGCCACATCCCAGACTTAATGAGCGGAATCTTCAGTTTCACAAGATCCCCACACGGTCCCCATACACGTTAAAGTCTGAGAAAGGGGCTAGTGCATCTGGAAAGGCCTAACAGCCCCAGCCAGGTCTGAGTTGAGGCAAGGAGCTGGGGGCCACTTATTCTTCATTGCTTACACTGGGTTTAAGCTGCAAGGTGCAGTGTTACAGCTTGCGAGTGAAACAACGTGAAACTCGATAACCCCTATTTCTGATTCCCTAGAAATAGCAGAGGGGAAAGATTTTCAGATTAGGAGCAACACGGGTGGAAGGCAGGGCACCTTCCCAGCCTGCAGATGCACCCCTCTCCCTCCCTCCCAGCCTGCTCAGCTGGACTCACCCTCTAAAGACTTGGAAGGAGAGACTAAAGGGCTTTTCGTCTCTGCCTCCTTCGCTGGGCTCTGCACCGGAGAAGCAGGTGCAGACTTTGCAGGTGAGCCAGGCTCTTCTGGGGCAGTTTCTTTCTCTCCTGAAAAAAACAGAAAACGACCTCAGGATAGAGGTCAAATAGAGAAGAGATAATCAAGGAAATAAAGCCTTCTAAAAATTACTGTTTTCTATGTGGTCATCAATCCTTCTGGCTGATAATGAACTTTCTGGCTGAAGTTAGCTGCTCCCCCTAACCTTTTTAGATTTCTGCTACTTCCCTGGGAAGGCCAATGGGAGAGGGTGGAGTCATGTTTCCTTCATCGAAACACACCTACCAATATGTTACTCCAGATGTGGAGGACAACACTGCAGGAGAACTTGCACACGGCCGGACCAGAGCCTGGCTCTCATTCCTGTCCTGTCTCTGAAGAGAACCAGCCAGGAGCTTTACATTGTGAGCACAGAGCACATCAACAGGTAAGAGGTGGACCCACAACCACCAACTCCCTTTATTTATTTTTTGCTGAATCCCCTTAAAAACACCCATGATTTCTTTGCATGTAACTATTGTTTAATTCATCAAATTTACATTTTCTGTCCAAGCAATCCCTAGGGATATAAAGCGCCATGTTCTTCTATTTGCTTTTCAGTTGGCACATGAGAGCTCCAAGCGAGCCAGCAAGGGATTTTTTGTTTTTGTTGTTGTTGTTTGAGATGGAGACTCCCTCTGTCACCCAGGCTGGAGTGCAGTGGTATGATCTCAGCTCACTGTAACCTCCGCCATCTGGGTTCAAGCAATTCTCCTGCCACAGCCTCCTGAGTGGCTGAGATTACAGGTGCGCACCATGCCTGGCTCATTTTTGTATTTTTAGTAGAGACGGGGTTTCACCATGTTGGCCAGACTGGTCTCGAACTCCTGACCTCAAGTGATCCACCCGCCTCAGCCTCCCAAAGTGCTGGGACTACAGGCCATGCCTGGCCAGCAAGGGTTTTTTTAAGTGCCTGCTTTGTGTCCAGGAAGGTGGCTGACTTGGGATGAGGAGGGGAGATGGTGGAAGACCCTGCCCTGAGGGCGTGACAGTCTAGCCCGGTGGACACAACCAAAAGCTGAATTATGTGTCTCAGACCCCAAGTGGTCAGGAAGCAAAGAGAAGGGGCAGCTCAATTTGGATGGAATAGGGAGGGTGACAGGGTGGCCTTCCTAGCTGGAGAGGGGTTTGAGAGGAAGCCGGAAGTGTGGATGACTGACCAGGCTAGCCAGGAAGGGGAAGCATGCCAGGAAGAGACAAAGGTAGGAACAAGGGCACATAAGCTACTGTGAGTGAATATTTGGGAGTCAATACAGAGAGATGGGCTTCACTCAAGATTCTGAAATAAACGAGTGAGAAAAAGACATAAAGGTGTCAGCTGGTGGAGGGTTTTGATTGCCAGGCTAAAAGGCTTATACAAGACCTGGTGGGAAATAATAATGATGACTATGATCATTATTATAGCTAAAACTGATCTGGTGTTTACTGGCCTAAGCCATACTTCTAGGCACTTCTCTAAGCACATTACAAGTATTAACTCCTTTATGAGAGGGTCAAGTGACATGAAGGAACCGAGTAACTGTCAGGAATAGAGCAATGAAGGGCATTTTTGCAATTAATGGAACTACGGTAGATATATTCTTTGATGATAAGCAGGAAGGTCCCCTCATGGTGGTCCTGAGCTCTCCCCTCCACCCTGGGGACTTAGAAGCAAGGGTGCCTCAGGGTCATTTACCATCAAGTTCTAGTTTCTTCCTCTCCACCTCTTTCTTGTACTCTTCCAACTCCTGGTCAGTGAGTTGGCTGAAGGGGTTGGGCACCGTCTCCTCTGAATCATCTTTGGTATCCTCGTCGCCCTTGGACATCAGCTGGCTCTCTGTAGACTGAAAGTTAACCACAGAGGGTGTGTCGCTCTCTGAACGCCGCAGTTGGGGCGCAGGCCCCAGCTTCCTTTTAGATTCATGTGGCTGCAAGCGGTCTTGCTAGGGACAGCATGGCATGCAGCTCCTTGGAAACGGCTCAGGGCCTCGGGGTAGGGGTTGTTCATTCCTCCCCATTGCTACCTCACCCCTAGACCTAGATTTTTGCAACTAGCTGGATGAATATAGGGGGTCCACAGTCTGCCCCTGAAATAAAATCAAAGGATGCTCCCAAGCAGAAGGAAGACACACCTTTATTGCAATCCCTTCTATGGACACTTCCAAGCCATTACTATGCAAATACAGTTGGTGGCCCAAAGGCAGTCAGCCAAAGCCCAGCAAGCATAGCATTGGCTCAAGCAAGCTTCATGCCAGCCATTCCCCACCACTGCCCTCCCCGCCCGCCCCCACAGCAGTGCAAGCCACAACACACAGCATTAAGTTATATGCACAACACACAGCAGCTTCAGTGCTCTCAGTCCAAACTGTTAGTCCTGTTTCGCACACAGTCGTAAGTGACAAAGGGGCCAAGGTTCCTGAGTCTCAGATCTTCAACCTGCCTGTACCGCAGGTCCCTGCAGGGATAGTGGCAAAATCACTGGGTTTTGCCACCTCTGTGGAGCCCCTGGCTCCAAGGAGCTGACCAGCCGGCCCTTGCATAAGCTTCAGGAATTCTTTGACCCCTCCAGCCCAAGATAGGGACTAAAATTCAGACTCCACAGCCCTTTTTCCTAATTCGGCATCCTCATCTTGGCCTTTGAGGACGCAGCACTCTGAAGCTGAGGAGCAAAGAGAGTGAAGCCAAAGGGAGGTGAGCCTGGAGCCTGCCAGTCCTCCCTGCCCTGGCCCGCCAGGTCTTCTGGCCCCTGGGTCCCTTCCAAAAGGGAGGCCACAGCAGGCCTAATGTAGGGAATCACGGAGTCAACCGAGAATCCAAGACCAAAAACCCAAGAAGAGGGACTCTGAGAAGAGCACTTGGTATACATGGCAGGGGAGATTTTTGTTTGTTTTTTAAGTTTTGCTTATTGTACTAAACTCTCACCTCCCCCCAGAACATGGCTATTTCTATCCTTGACCCTACGGGATGTTCAGTGTTCCCCATCTTGGCTGAGTTGGGGTTGAGGGGAGGAAGGTGTGATGATGCAACTTTTGCACTTCTCCTGCCAACGGGCACCCACCCTGTGGGCTGCAGTCTTGATCTGAAATCACTGCATCACCACAATTTGCCCTGTAGAGAGGAACATTTCCTGTATTTCCCCGAGTTTTACTGCTAAGGAAAATGTCATGTCCATTGCTACCTTGCAAGGAGCAGCGGTGATTTCAAGCACATGCCAGAATTCTGAACTTCACCCATTTTGCTAAGCACTAGACAAAACACTGTTCTATCTCAAGCACAAAAACAATGACAATACTTTCTAACTCAATGTGGGTTTGTGTGGGCAATCTTGTCCCTTCCCATCCTATAGGAGCATAGGTCTTGTCTTCATGCCCCCTCTCTATGGGTACATGATCATTTTCCCAGAGCTCTGGCTGGATGACATCATACCAGGCACAGAGGTCAGAGACACTCAGGGCTGGGCACACCTGGGAGTCTCCAGCCCCAAGCCTGTGAGTCCCCACTTCATGGGGTAGTAAGGGAGGACAGAGTGGAGTTCCACGGCAGGAGGTACGGAAGCTGGCCGCATCACTCCTGTGGGCAGGCTGGGTTGCTGTTCCCCTGCCCAGTGCCCACCAGGGCCATCAGACATTGTCCTCCCTGGTCCTCACAGCACCCCTGTGAGGTGGGCCTCCATTCTGCAGCAAGAGCACCAGCACCCAAGATCACAGGGGAAGGTGGGTATGAGGACTCAAGGGTCCTGCAGCCCAGCCCCAGGCACAGAAGACCCCGAAGGCAAACATGTTTCCCCGCCAGTCAGGGGCAGCCTCTGCTGTACCGGGCTTCGGCTCTTCTCGGCAATGACACTCGCCAGGAGCTGGGACTGAGGTCCCGCTGACTTCACATCTTGTCGGTTTTGTTCTCGAATCTGTGTGGAAAGGGGAGAGGGAGAGTGAGCTGGCTGTTCGGGGTCAGCGTGGAGTTTGGGAGGGGGCATACTGGTGTGCCTGGGGTCTGGAAAGGTCCTCCAGCGGTGTGGGAGCCTGTCTCCTACCATAATGCAATCCTTGCAGTCTAAGCGGGGGCCTCCAAGTCTGTTCCAGGGTGAATTAGCAATTTATGTAAAGCACCAGATTTTCATGAAACCAGAAGGAGCTGTAAACTATGAAAAGTAAAATGAGGCATAGTTGATCCTAAGAAGCCCATGAGGAATTTGTTTTAAATACAGATTCTAGGCACCCACCCCCTCCCACCATTGAATCTGAATGTCTGGGGAGAGGGGAAAGGGAAGGAGGGTGGTAGAGGAGGGTGACCCAGGAATCTAAACTTTCAACAAGTGCTGTAGGGTATCCAGGCCCACACACTGCAACACTATCCTGTGAGTGATCTGACCTGTTAGAGGTGCCTGCTACAACTGCAGTTTTAAAGTAACATTAAAAATATACGCAAGTGAACTGTCAGGCAAAGATCCAGAAACAAACACAGTGATCTTGAAACATTGCAAATAAACCAAAAGGAAAATGGTATAAAATTCATTAAAACTCAGTTTGTGGGCAGGCCTTTCAGACACAGCGGATGTGTAAACCAAGCCCCGCTCTAGGTAAAGGGTTACGGGACCACATGAGTACGGCGCTTAGCACGACACCTGGGCCATGGTCAGTCAATGGTAGTTTCCCTCTCCTGTGAGGCATGTGAGATTGTGAGATGTCAGCAAGTTAGGCACATCCTGGGAACTCAGCTCCCGTTTGCGGGACTTGAGACCCCCAATGTGGGAGAAGAAAGAGTGGGATAAACGGCCTCCACTTACCTTGTTCCTCATCTCCAGCACTTCCTGGGGGTCGGTATAGAGAGGCACAAATTGGTTTGGGTTTTCGATGCGAATCGGCATGCCACTGCTGGATTTCTCCACCTCGTCAGCCTTCATCCACTGTACAAACACAAGGCCATGGGGCTGAGGTGAGGGAACAGGCCCATGCATCCTCCCTGGTGGTCCACCCATGAGATCTGGGCCCAACGGCCTGCGTGGAAGGTCAGCAAGCCTACTCATAGACACTCTCTCTTCTTCGGCATCTTTGATGTCTGTCTCCAGGAGCAGAGAAGGGCAACAGATGACCCAATTACCAATGAAGGCCCTCAGGCCAAAGGTCGGCTATAAAGAACGTCCAAGAGTCGGGGTCAGAACCTTGGGAAACAGCTTTGACACACAGGCAACCATTTGGGCTTCAGTATTAGGTAACTTGATTTGAGTTTGGAGAGCTTCATATTGTTTGTTTGTTTGTTTGTTTTTTGAGACGGAGTCTCCCTCTGTTGCCCAGGCTGGAGTGCAGTGGCGCGATCTCGGCTCATTGCAAGCTCCGCCTCCCGGGTTCACGTCATTCTCCTGCCTCAGCCTCCTGAGTAGCTGGGACTACAGGTGCCCACCACCACGCCTGGCTAATTTTTTTGTGTTTTTAGTAGAGATGGGGTTTCACCGTGTTAGCCAGGATGGTCTCGATCTCCTGACCTCGTGATCTGCCTGCCTCAGCCTCCCAAAGTGCTGGGATTACAGGCATGAGCCACCGAGGAGAGCTTCATATTGTTTTATGAAGAGCTATTCTGTTTGGCTATTGGCTACTTTTATGTTAAAGAGAAATTGAGAGCCTGTGGGTGGGGAGAGGGAGAGAAAAGGTAACTTCATAGAAGTGGCTGTACAGCCTGCCTCCTGGACTTGCATCAGATCTGAAGTCCCAATGTTAAATGCTCCTCCCTTGAATTTCCCAGAAGCCCCCTGTGGATGTGGGAGAAAGAAACACAAACCAACTGGTTCTGCGTCATGTGCCTGGCCCAACTGCCTTCTGGAGAAATCTGCTCCTTAGATCCAAAAACTCAGGCAGAGGTCAAGGAGGAAGCGGTCAGGGGCTCAGTGGGCCTGAGCAGCTGCTCCCAGAGGCCAAATAGGAAGCCCAAAGAGGATGCTACTGACCTGGGGCAGGAGAGGTTTGTTCTGTTCCCGTTTTAAAACTGCTTCATCCTGCAAATGCAGCCTGCCCCTCTCTGCCCGGGTCTGTCCTGGGCTCCCCCTTACCGTGGTCTTGGGTCGGGGGCTGCCCATGCTCCTCTGGACCTCATCAGCCACATTGACCCGCAGGTAGGTGTTGGGCGTGTTGAGCCAGCGGGTCTTCTCCTTCTGCTGCTTCTGGGCATGCTGTCGCAGGGCGGGCACTGGGGCACCATCCTCCTCAAACACGAAGGCTGTGACCGTGGCTGGAATCTCCACCTCACTTTTGTGTTTGGTTTTCTCTTGAACAAAGGGGTGGCGGTACGTGTAGCCCGTTCTGTAGCCCTAAAAAGGACAAAAACAGAACCACTTATGGGGTGAGAAAAAAGGCCTCTACATGCACATACACGCACACACACCTTTCCTTCCATCTGCTTAAAGGACTCTTCATGTAAACCCAAATCTCCATTAAACAATCTAGGCTTTCCACTCTTCTGGTATATTTCAGAACTGTTCCCTCCTCCTGGTCCCCTAACCCCTCTCTTTCTCTGCCCCAACAAGTCCTCTGATCTGGGCTGAGAAAATCCCTAGACCTTTGTGGACCAGACAGACAGAGCTCCTCATCCAAATGGAGCCATAGATTTCCTCTGGTCCAGTGGCTCCCAGCCCTGGCCGCACACTGGAATCACTGGGGGAGCTTCACACAAACACTGACGTCTGGGCCCTGATGCAGAGTTGCCCATTGAATCAGATCATGGCGTGGCCTGGGCTACAGGATCTTTAAAAGCTTCCCAGCTGATTTACTAGTCACCCCTCCTTTCCTTGACTCTGAAGCTTCTTAACAATTTCCTTCTAAGAACCCTGAAAGCAGACTCAAGAACATTCCTGTCTCCTAAGCAAGGCCACGTCCCTCAAAGCTGGAGCTGACTGCTTCTTGGAGAGAACAAACATTCTGGAATCCTGGCAGCTGTTGGAGCAATATTCAACTCTCCTGGTCTTCTTTTATTTTTAAATTAAAATGGCATTAAGGTATCTTTCTGATTATAAAGGAAACACAGATCCATGTAGAAAAATTAAGCGAAATAAAGAAATAAGGAAAAAACTGAATTTTATGCAAACTCCCACTCCAGAGACAACCACTAAAAACCTTTCCAGTCTTATCTCTATGCATACGCATGTGTGTCCATGTATGTTTGATACTAGTAAAATGGATATTTCCAATCACATATAATGGCTACTTAACTATTTTCCTTTGTAAATTGTTTATGTTCTCAGCCCATTTTTCTTTTTTTTTTTTTTTTTCGCTCTGTCACCCAGGCTGGAGTGCAGTGGCCGGATCTCGGCTCACTGCAAGCTCTGCCTCCCGGGTTTATGCCATTCTCCTGCCTCAGCCTCCCGAGTAGCTGGGACTACAGGTGCCCGCCACCTCGCCTGGCTAGTTTTTTTGTATTTTTTTTCAGTGGAGACGGGGTTTCACCGTGTTAGCCAGGATGGTCTCGATCTCCTGACCTCGTGATCCGCCCGTCTCGGCCTCCCAAAGTGCTGGGATTTACAGGCTTGAGCCACCGTGCCCGGCCTCAGCCCATTTTTCTATTGATGTTTCTCTTTTTCACATTGATTTGTAAGCTCTGTAAATTAAGAATATTAATTTTTTCACTATCATAGATGGTGAAAATATTTGCCTCCATACTTTGTCTTTTACCTTGTTTATGGCGGGGGAGTGGTTTATAGAAATGCACATTTTGAATTGTTTAATATCTTATCTATCAATATTTGTCATGATTGCAGACTTTTCTGCCGTGCTTGATAGGTCTTCCCTAACACAAGGGTATCAAAAACATAAATCTATGTTTTTTAATACCCCTATGAGTTCACTTTTTATGTTTACCATTTTGATAAACCAGGAATTTATCTTGTTGAAATAAATGAAGTAGCAATCTGCCTCAGTTTTCTTTCCCAGATGGCAAGTAGTCTATCTTTCCCCCACTGATTTATAAAGTGCCTGTTTTTCCTGTGTTAAATTCTCATATATTTTGGATCTATTTCTGGATTCTCTAAGCTGTCGCGTTGTTTTGCACGTCCATTTTGCTAGTGCCATGCCATTTAGTTGCTAAAGTTTTATCACACTTTGTCATGGTGGAATTAGTATTCCTAATTACTTTTATTTTTGTAACATTGTCCTAGCCATCCTGAATTTCACATGGAAGGGCATTTTGTCAAGTCCTTGTATCTTCCCTCATTTTTGAAAGAAATCCATTGAGTTTACTGATTAATTTTGGGGAAGTAACGTCTTTACCCTATTGAAGCTTTCTAACCAAGAATAAATTATAGCTCTTCACTGACTTCAGGTTTTCTCTGATGTCTATTAATAAAGTTTTATGGTTTTAAAAAATGGATTCTGCTTTTTAATATTTTATGATTGTACTCCATTTGCAAATAGGATTATTTTCTCCCATTATTATATTTTCAAAGTAGTTAATGTTAAGACACAAAAACTTCTGATTTTTGTATATATTTGCATAATTGACCACCTTAAACTGAAATCACCTTTGCAAAATTATGACAGTAAGATAAGTAAGATATGACACGGCTGACTCTGTCTTGCTTCTAGCCTCACAAGCTGGCTGGCTTTGCTCATTCCTGGATGTGAGCCAAGCCAACTTCAGGAGAAATTTAGTTTATAGTGTAAACGATGACAGCCCTTCCCAAAAACTAAATTGCCCTTGTAAAACTAATGAAAGACCACCAAGTTAGGAAGAGGAAAGGGGCCTGAATTTTCTAAGATGTAGGCATAGTTAAATAATTACCAGCCATTATTCCAGAGGTCACACGATTTACAACTTCCCCAGTTACTCCTGTAAATAATATCACTATTGTAGAACCTAAGATTGGCCTTTGGAGATATCTTTTCAGGCTTTTGCATTTCTGACAACTGGGACTCGGTCAGTCCTGTGGCCCCACCCATAGGCAGACTCAGTGCACAAGCACCATATTCCACACTCCTATAACTGTATCCCCAACCAATCAGCAGTACCCATACCTTAGCCCTCTACCCACTAAACTATCTTTGAATCTTCCTGGCACAGTGGCTCACACCTGTAATTTCAGCACCTTGGGAGGCTGAGACAGGTGGGTCACTTGAGCCCAAGAGTTTAAGACCAGGAATCTTTGAAAAACCCCCTTTGAAAAATCCCTAACCTCTGAGGCTTCAGTGAGATTGATTTGAGTCTATCTCCTGCATGGTGTGGCCAGGCTCGCATCAGTTAAACTCTTTCTTTACTGTAATGCCATGGTCTCTGTGAAATGATTTTGCTTGTGTAATGGGCAGGAAGAACCCATCAGGTGGTTATAAAAGTATTCTCATTATTTCTAATATTTTTTTCAGTTGATTTTTTTTTGGACTTTATAGGCATGTAACCACATTATCTGTAAATAATAATTTCCTTTCCTTTAAAAGATTTATACCTCTTTTTTTTTTTTTTTTTTTTTTTGAGACGGAGTCTCGCTCTGCTGCCCAGGCTGGAGTGCAGCGGTGTGATTTCAGCTCACTGCAAGCTCTGCCTCCTGGGTTCACGCCATTATCCTGCCTCAGCCTCCCGAGTAGCTGGGACTACAGGCACCCACCACCACGCCCAGCTAATATTTTGTATTTTTAGTACAGACAGGGTTTCACCATGTTAGCCAGGATGGTCTTGATCTCCTGACCTCGTGATCCACCCGCCTCAGCCTCCCAAAGTGCTGGGATTACAGGCGTGAAAATATTTATACCTCTTATGCTTCATTGCCTTGGATTGAATTCCAGTATTATTCTAGAATGATATTAAATAATAGTGCTATGACCAAGAATAATTGTTTTGTTTAAAAGTTTAATAGGCACATGCCACCATGCCTGGCTATGTTTTGTATTTTTTGTAGAGACAGAGTCTTGCTATGTTGCCCAGGCTGGTCTTGAACTCCTGGGCTTAAGTGATCCACCTGTCTCGGCCTCCCAAGGTGCTGAGATTACAGAAGTGAGCCACCATACTGGACAGATCAAAAGTTTTTATCCTTTGATGCTTCAATATCATGAAATACATTTAAAAGATTTATAGATTGATATTATTAAGCCATCACTGAATTCTAAGAATGAGCTACCAGTTATTGTATATTATTATTCTACTATTAGGCTTGATACTATTTACTAGTTTTCACGCAGCATTTTTCATCAACGTTCAAAGAAAAATTGGTCTAATTATGTTACAATTATTATGGCTTAGTATTCTTTTTTCACTCCTCTCTGAAATAGTTTAAATAACAGAATTATCTGTGTCTTAAAGGTTGGAAAGAATTCTTGTTGAAACCATCTAGTCATGGTGCTTTCTTTAGGCAGAGATTACTCAGCATACAAATGTTAATGGGAGTTGTATTTTCACTGTGGATTGTACCTTTCATTATTATAAAGTGGCCCTCATGGTCAGCCTAGTAACAAAGTAGAGATGATTTGGAGGAACCGAAGGCAGGGAGAAATGTATTCATTATTGCAATAACCTTGACATGATAAAGAAGGCCCAAGATGGTAGCAGTGAGGATGAGAAAAATGAATCAGACGGAACATTATAAACAGAGTTCATCTTTCACTTCTCTGAGCAATCTAAGAAGTTACAGCCTCTTATGCAATTAGCTCCTCATTGCATATGCTTTCCTCTTGTTCCTGAATTGTCACCTGTTTATATCCCATATTTCAGCTAAATTGTTAGCCCTTAGAAGACGAAAGTATGTCTTAAATTTTTTTTTGTATCTTTTGAAGAGCCAGCCCACTCCTAGACACATGCTAGTTTAATTCGTTACATGATTGATTAGTTCATTTATTCACTCCAATAGGATATTGTTACAAAGGTGCTGCCTAGGATTAAGAAAATTAGTAGTATTATGTGTTTTCTGCATTAAAAGTCATGAAATGGACAGAAAGACAAAATTAACTATATAAAAGATATGAGCAAAGCCCCAGTATAAGATAGGCTCTGTGTCCTGGTTTTTACTGGACTATGACCTTTTTTGTTTTTTGAGATGGAGTCTCACTCTGTCACCCGGACTAGAGTGCAGTGGCACAATCTCAGCTCACTGCAACCTTCACCTCCCGGGTTCAAGCAATTCTCCTGCCTCAGCCTCCCGAGCAGCTGGGACTACAGGTGTGTGCCACCAAGCCCAGCTAATTTTTTGTTTTTTTGTTTTCTTTTTTTTCTTTAGTAGAGCCGGGGTTTCACTGCATTAGTCAGGCTGGTCTCAATCTCCTGACCTCGTGATCTGCCTGCCTCGGCCTCCCAAAGTGCTGGGATTACAGGTGTGAGCCACTGCGCCCGGCCTAGACTACAACTTTTCATAGAGGACTCTGCAGATATGACAACGTCCACAGCACTTAGTTGGTGGTGGCAAAGTCCACAGTTTACAAAAATTCAACTACTATTAGAATAACCACACATTCTAAATCAAATTTCCCATCAACGAGGCTTCAACAACCTAACTGTGATGCTGGCCGTTCTTGTGCCCGCCCGATGCCTTGTAATTCCTAGTTCCAGGGGGCTAAGCCTCAATGGACTGGTCTGGAAGGGCAATGTCAGCAGACTCACCAGGTTGTCCAGCATCCTCATGAGGGCCTCAAACTCATGCTCCCCCAGTCGGCTCTTCTGCATAGGCCCAAAGGTGCTCCCGGCCCACTGCACAGAGCCCACCTCGTGGGGCCGGTGCTTCTCCTGCTCCAGGAGGATGAGGTTCTCCACTCCCCCGGCACTGGACAGAGCCGACACCTGTAGCAAAGAGCAGAGAGCCCTCAGCCCATGTGCACACGAGTACCCTGCACTTATGTATGCTCCTATATGTGATGAGAGAGTGGGGAGTCACAGAGGAGAACTTAGAGGCCAAACTGAGAAAGAGCCACCCACATTTGATAGGCATGCACCCATTTCCAAGAAAAGAGCTATTAGTTTATTTCCTGATGCCAGTTCTTAGAGATTATAAAGAAGGAAATAGCAAGCGTTAAACCTTAAGACTCAAACAAAACAGAGGACTTAAAGTTACCTGGGATACAGATTAACCTAGAATTGTGATTATATCTAGGGAGGGAGGGAAGATGAGACTGGAAAGGACTTCAAAGGGGACTTCAGTTCTTGTTTGTAATATTTTGTTTCTTCAAGATTTGAAGCCAGAGGTTATGAATATGTTTGATCTGAGTGGTAAGTATGGGTGTCTATTATGTTAGTCTCTGCATTTTTCTGTATGTTTGAAATATCTCCGATGTTTTTTATTTTTATTTTGAGACAGGGTCTCTGTTGCCCAGGCTGGAGGGCAGTGTCACAATCTCAGCTCACTGCAGCCTTAACCTCCCAGGCTTAAGCTATCCTCTCACCTCAGCCTCCTGAGTAGCTGTGACTACAGATGTGCACCACCACACCCAGCTAATTTTTGTATTTTTAGTAGAGATGGAGTCTTACCCTGTTGCCCAGGCTGGTCTCGAACCCCTGGGCTCAAGCAATCTACCTGCCTTGGCCTCCCAATGTGCTGGGATTACAGGCATGAACCACCATGGCTGACCTCTCCTATATATTTTTTAAAGTCACTTGAAAGAAATAGGCTGGCTCCCAAGCCAATGAAATTTATTTGTAACCTCATGGGATGAATTCACAGGTCCAAAGGAAGAATACATTCTCCACAATGGGGTTAGTCAGTCAAGGAAGCCCAGAAAAAGGAGACAGATAAAATGCCTACAGCCAAGCGCTGTGCAGGGGTGACAGTTCTCACTCATGGACTTAGATTGTCTGTCCCATTGTCAAGGCTACATGGGGAGGGCAATGCAAGTGGTTGTAGGCAATGGACTCTGAGTATTAGGATAAGAGGTGTGTGTATACAGTAGGCAATTTTAGAATGATCCTAAAAAACACTCATTAATCTAACAAATCCTCTTATTTTTTTAATTCCATGCTCATCTAATGGTACATTCTATTTACCCTCATGTATCTACTACTCAGATATAATTGGTTAGGGTCTGGCTTCCTGGATGATAAATCCAGCTACATAAAGGGACAGTGGCTTGTGAATATTCCAGGTGGTGAGACAGGTGTTTTGCACTGCACATTATTATGTTAGCATTCCGAATAAGATATGATATCCCGTGTTAGCCTGCTTGTTATGGGAAACTGCTTTAATTACACAAACTTTCAGTACTTTTATGACAGTTACTTTTTACTGGAAATGAAAAAATCCAGTTTAACCTGCTGACAAATACAGGTCTATGAACCCAAGAGGATCAGCGACAGACCTTAGAGTGTGTTAAATTCATCATTTAACAAATGCCCCTGTGCTACTTCTCTGAGGTCAGCCAGGCAGCCTTCCCAGGTGACCCCTGTCACCCTGTGAAGAGAAGGAAGCAAGAATATTATCTACGCCCTTCTCATCCAAGCCATGCGTCTAGCGGAGGACAGACAGACCTCTCCCACTGCCCCTCACAGCCCTGGTGAGGCAGCGCTTCTCCAGGTAATGTTTAAGGGCACGGACCTAGGCACCAGGCTGCCTGGGTTTGAATCCTGGCTCTGCCACTTACCAACTATGTGACTTTTAGCAGCTATTTACCATCTGTGTGCCTCAGTTTCCTCTAAAATGAAAATAGCAGTACCTACCTTATGAGAAGTCTTTAAGGTAATACATCTAAAGCACTTAGTGTAGCACCTGGTACATATGGGGTGCCATATAAATGTTCTGATGAATGAATTTTGAGAAGTGCTATTCCCTGGGGACCCATACTTAACGGAGAAGAAGAGAGGGAGAGACTGCCCACAACCTTGTAAGAGCTGCCTCCTCCCACCTCCCTCTTCCTCCCCCGGTTTCCATGGTGACGGGTAGCAGATGGAGAAGAACTGCCTGAGCTTCTTCCCATCTGCCTGTCGGCAGAGCAGGGAGCTGCCATTCTCAGTGGGGGATGACCCAGTTTCCCGGAACCCCAAATTGATGGGGAGCAGAGAGAATACCATCCCCAGGAGAAATAAATAGGCTCTCAGCCTTGAACTGCTAACATGACCATAGCCACGTTCGCTTGTTTGCCAAGGTCACCAAGGGAGAAAACTTGGCCCACAATGGAAACAGAGCTTCAGTGCTGGCCGCTTCACCCAAAAATGACCTGGCCAGGGCTGTGCTCCCAGCGGCACCTGCAGTCACCGTTACCTAGGCTCTTCATGCCCTGATCCGCCCACGCCTCCTCTAGGTTTTCCTGCTTTTTTCTTCCACATCTTCCAGCTCTATTCCCGCCTCTAGAAGCCTCTCTGCTCTACTAGCAGGGAGGAAAAAAAAGGTCACTGGAGCTTTCCCGGGGTTATCCGTCTGCATTGCCTGAGGTCCTGTAACAAGGTCTCAGCAAACCAGTCCTGAAAAGAAAGTGACAGCAACTGGGGGAGTAGGGCTGTGAGGTACAGAAGCCCGCAGTTCTGCCCTTTACACTGTCCAGAAACTGTTTCTGGGGGCCTGCACCCTGGGAGAGGCGTACTTTACCATGTGGGGTGGTGCGACACGTGGGCATCCCTCTCCATTCATTTTTAGGGCTGAGCTATCTTTGCAGAGATGATGTTTTTACAGGAGATATTTTCTTATTGAAGACTCTTCTCCCGAAGGAAGATAGGGAGCTCTTAAGAGTTCAGATGTGGGAAAGGGAGAGTAGCTTCCCTGTATCCCAGAGGCTCCACCAGATTCTTCCACCAGTCAGTGGTCAGAGCTCAGGGCCAGAATCTTTGGTTGGGCAGCAGGGGGGGCACCACATCACATCAGAAAGGCACCAGCTGGGTCTGTGTCCACCTGCTCCTGTTCTGACCACTGCCTCTAACACTTCCTCATCATTATCTTCACAGCTGTCCTCACCACATATCCTCTAAAAATGACTGAAAAGGTCCCACTGCAGAGCCTCCACCAGTGACGTTTCCAGGCAGATCTCAATCTCCCCAGAGTACCTCCAAGAGAAAGACCTCTTCCTCTGGGTGGTGCTCTGCCTAGGCCGGCCAGGAGAGGGCGGACAGGACACCAAGGGGTTGGGCAAAGAGCTGACTCATCCAGGAGCAACGGGCCTCTATATGTCAGTTGAGTCCTAAAAATATCATCAGCAACACCCCTCTTTGCGTCCTCACAGCAACTCGCTGGGCCCCATGTCTACAGTTGAGGAGACAGAGGCTCAAGCAAGGCAAGTCCTCTATCCAAGGGCACACAGCCCAGAGTGGGGAGAATGGAGCCCGGTCAGCCTGGTCTGGTTAATAAGGTCTTTTCAGGGTTGTGCAAGGCCCCCTAACTGCTCCTGACCAACTTGCCACATTGAAAAGTGTGTGGTTGGCTTATCCAACACCACCTTGTCTATACAACTACAGGTTTGTGGCCGGGCGTGGTGGCTCACGCCTGTAATCCCAGCACTTTGGGAGGCCGAGGCAGGTGGATCACGAGGTCAGGAGATCAAGACCATCCTGGTTAACACGGTGAAACCCCGTCTCTACTAAAAATACAAAAAATTAGCCGGGCCTGGTGGCAGATGCCTGTAGTCCCAGCTACTCAAGAGGCTGAGGCAGAAGAATGGCGTGAACCTGGGAGGCGGGGCTTGCAGTGAGCTGAGATTGTGCCACTGCACTCCAGCCTGGGCAACAGAGCAACACTCCACCTCAAAAAAAAAAATCCAGATGTAGGCTGGATGAGGTGGTGCATGCCTGTAATCCTAGCACTTTGGGAGGCCAAGGCGGGTGGATCACCTGAGGTCAGGAGTTCGAGACTGGTCTGACCAACATGGTGAAACCCCATCTCTACTAAATATAAAAAGTTAGCTGGGCGTGGTGGCGCATGTCTGTAATCTCAACTACTTGGGAGGCTAAGGCAGGAGAATCGCTTGAACCCGGGAGGTGGAGGTTGCAGTGAGCCGAGATAGCACCACTGCACTCCAGTCTGGGCAACAAGAGCAAAATTCCATCTCAAAAAAAAAAAAAGAAAAGAAAAAAAAAATCTAGATGCGGAGATTACACTTTCAATCTAGGTCACATATTTCCACAAGATTTAATTTTTTTTTTTTTTTTTTTTTTTGAGACAGGATCTCGCTCTATCACCCAGGCTGGAATGCAGTGGTACCATCACAGCTCACTGTAGTCTTGACCTTGGAGGCTCAAGCAATTCTCCTGACTCAGTCTCCTGAGTCGCTAGGACCACAGGTGCTGCCAACCACACCCAGCTAATTTATTATATTTAGTAGAGACAAGGTTTCACTGTGTTGCACAGGCTAGTCTGGAACTCCTGGGTGGGAGGATTGCTTGAACGCAGGAGGTTGAGGCATCAGTGAGCCATGCTGGTGCTGGCTGGGTGACAGAGTGAGACCCTGTCTCTGGAAATAAAACAGTTATCCTTGGTGTAAGGAGCAACAATTAAAATAACATTAATCTAGGCCAGGCCCGGTGGTTCATGCCTGTAATCCTAGCACTTTGGGAGGCCGAGGTGGGCAGATCATTTGAGGTCAGGCATTCAAGACCAGCCTGGCCAACATGGTGAAACCCCATCTCTACTAAAAACACAAAAATTAGCCAGGCATAGTGGTGGGCACCTGTAATCCCCGCTACTCAGGAGGCTAAGGCAGGAGAACTGCTTGAACCCAGGAGGCGGAGGATGCAGTGAGTCGAGATCAGGCCATTACACTCCAGCGTGGGTGACAGAGTGAGACTCTGTCTCAAAAACAAAACAAAAAGATTAAACTCTTCTCCTTGTTGCTATGAGGTAATGTAGAAAATAGGCCTAGAGGCCGGGCACGGTGGCTCGCGCCTGTAATCCCAGCACTTTGGGAGGCCGAGGCAGGTGGATCACGAGGTCAGGAGATCAAGACCATCCTGGTTAACACGGTGAAACCCCGTCTCTACTAAAAATACAAAAAATTAGCCGGGCCTGGTGGCAGATGCCTGTAGTCCCAGCTACTAGGGAGGCTGAGGCAGGAGAACGGCGTGAACCCGGGAGGTGGAGCTTGTAGTGAGCCAAGATCGTGCCACTGCACTCCAGCCTGAGTGACAGAGCGAAACTACGTCTCAAAAACAAAAACAAAAACAAAAACAAAAAAAACAAAAAACAACTACAGGTTTGTCTGTTTTCCTACTGCTTCTCCACCAACTCCTCTAGGGGGTTCCCTGATCACTGACACGCCTGTCATCTCCATCCCTTCCCAGTTAGGGATTCCATGACAGCTTCCTGGACATCACTTGGGGTTGCCCTGGCTGTTAAGGCTGCCACATCAACACTCCGATTGGCCTGCTTTCCGCTTCTCTTTCTGGACTTGACCACGTTCCTGGCCTTTGCGAACCAACCCCCTCCCCTCAAAAAAAAAAACAAAACCTACCTGTGTGTCCGTTGGGCATAGGTGCAAACAGGCTATACCCCATGTAACATATGAGCATGGTAAAAAATTTCTATGCCTTATTACAGTTTCTCCCACTGTCCAGTTGATGAGCCCAGGCAGCTCCCCAGACTGGGCACTGACTCCCAAGAAGTGGGTATTTATTGGTTGTTGCACAATGCTGATACATTTTTCAAAGCCACAGAACTAATCCTAAGTGGGAAACTTCAGGATAAGATGGTGCCAAGGCAGAGAAATAGGGCAAGGCCTTTAGAAGGCTGGCATCAAAAGACTCCCTAAATCACAGCCAACAGGGTCACCACATATGCCCACAGGCCCCTGTCAGAGCTCACTCCTGGGCCCACTTCCCAGGAGAATGTGCTCACCTGTATCTCACATGCAGCCTGCAGGTGAAAAATCTTGTAAAATGCTTCCTCTACGGTGTCACCCAGAGCAACCACTCCATGGTTTCTTAGCACCAGGATCTGTAGAGGAATAAACAGTCCATTAAAACCTTAAGTCTTCTAAACTTTAGTTAAGAGGGAGAGGTTTTTCATTTTATTTAGATCAACTTCCACAACCAATCCCAGGGCCCCTTCTCCCAACTCCTTGTTTATGTTCTCTAATCAAATACCCGAAAGCTACCCGATATGGGATTTTAACTCAAAGCATCTACCCTGAGAAACTGAAAAGGCATTTTAAAACTGGGACTAAATAGCTTGATCAATTTCTTTAGGCAAAGCCTGGGTTTTTAGGCATTTTAAAAATTGAAATTGAAAAGGCATTTTAAAACAGACTAAATAGCCTGGTCATTTCTTTAGGCAATGCTTGGGTTTTTAGGCCTTAGAAAGCTTAGAAGTTTGAAAAACTGGTGTGCGTATTAAAGTGAATAAAATTATTTGTTGTCCAATACAAAGTTCCCACCTCAAAAGCCATCTCTTGCTCCTGTGACTTAGTCGATGTGGGAGTCAAAGCCCCAGGGGGCAGTTCTCTGAGCGGTGGCCCGGCAGAAACAGGTGAGCCACATCACCGCTCTGGGCCTTAGGTTTCTGCACCATAAACTCAATGAGGCCCTGTCAGCTCTGAGATCTCACAGCTCTAGAAAGAGGCCACAGTGACCTTCTAATCTAACTCA